GGTAGTGAGAAATATGGTGCCTTGGACTATCTGACATACTTCATTCTAAGTTTGCAATGTAAGTCCCTCAATTTCTTATAATTTCATTTATAGTAAGAGCTTCATATCCGTTCGATTATTTTCACACAATTTTTTTGTTTTTGCGCAACATTTGATTTGCTCAAAACTTAACACGTCACACATCGCATCCATCAAACAATACTTAGACACTACTTTTAGCATTAAAGACTTGGGAACACTGAAATATTTCCTTCCTGTTGAGGTTTCTCGCACTCCTTCTAGTTCCATTTTGAATCCATGCAAACACATACTTGACATTTTAAAAGAAAGTGGAGTTCTGTTCGGTCATCTTAGTTTTTTTTCCCATGGTGCAAAATTGGATGTTTATCATATCTTCCCCTTGATCACCCCAATTTTGTCTTCCGCATCACCCAACTCAGTCAATTTTGAGTCATCCCCGTCAATCTCATCTTGAGGCCGCTCATCGTGTTCTTCGATACCTAAAACAAACACCAGGATAAGGACCTTTTCTTTTCTCAAATGACAATTTCTCCCTATCTATTTGTTGTGATGTCGATTGGGCATGATGTTCTTTACTCGTCGCTTTATCATATGCTGCATCATCACACTTGATATATCATTCATTTCGTGGCGTATTAAGAAACAATGTCATTTCTCGATCCCGCGCTGAAACTGAGTATGGTGGTACAACTATGACCATTAGCGAACTTTTTTGGCTTCGCTTACTACTTTGTGATCTCATGCTTCCATTTTGATAATTCATTGTACAACACATTGCTCTTAATCTAGTTTTTTATGAGTGTACCGAGCATATCGAGATAGATTGTTATTTTGTCCGAGAATGCGTTATCAATGAAGACATCACTCCATGCTACATCTCCATCGCCAACAAGATTGCAGTTATTTTTTCACCAAAGAAATCAATACTGATCGTTTTTAGTTTTTACGGAGCAAATTGCCTCTCTGTAACCTTCACACTCCACCTTGAGGGGGAATACTTATACTCGATGCTTATTCATTGTACTAATATTTGTATAGGATATTATGACCCATAGATCTACACCTCTTGGCCGGGAACCACATACTTAAATCATTTTGTATACATACTCCCTCTTTGGAGCACCTCTTGGAGAACCAAAGTACATATGAATCAATCCATACTCTCATCTAGCTCATGCATATCAGTACAGGTAGCTCAACAAATAAAAGCGGCGGGAAGTTTGGATTAATGATCAAGGATTGAAACCCACAACGGTCATAACTCTTATGTGCTGGCTAGACCTCTGGTGCGCACGAGTATAAGATCTATCACCGGTAATACTACGTTAGTCACCGTGATTTACAACCTCTCATATGTTCTGTCGATCTGGTCGGAACTTGAAAGTCCTTAGGATTGGAGATTCAATCTTTTGGATGATGGTAGCTTATACATGAGCGTTTCTACTCATTAATAACGTATTTCCCTTTTTACATTTAGCACATTTATTTTTACCACAAGTGATACACTGCTCACATTTCTTTGAGGGAACAACAATTAGAACAACTTTTTAACAAAGTGACCAAAATATGCTAATTGAAGCGTTTCTACTCATTATACATATAGTGCATTTTTTCGGCTATCTTCTATCAACATGAAATAAGGGGTATGAGGCTAATTCCACAACTCTGTTACGTCATTAAATCAAATTCTTGACTCGTTTATTTGAAAATTAAAATTTACTAAGCCAATTTGGTTTTTTCCTGCAATATATTCACTAAGCATACTTGTTTAATTGAATCTTTACTTTTATTATTATACATGAAATTTCTGTCGAAATCTTATACTTTTTACGAATAATTATAATTTTTTACTTTAATTTTTATTGTTATTTCAAACCTCTTTTTGAAAAATAGTTGAAACATATAAAAAAGTAATCATGAGATCTTAATTTTAGCACTTGGATCAACTTAAGAAAAATTTCGGTCTTGAAAAAATAGCCGATTTTAAGTATTTTTAACTTTATATATATGCAAAATTAGTGACTTAGTGTCATATGAAAGTTTATAAACAATTACCCCCTCCGTCCCTAAATAAAAGTATCTGTTTCCTTTTCGGGCCGTCCATAAATAAAAGTTTCCTTTCCTTTTTTGGCAAACAAAACAGTGCTAAACAGTGTCCAAAGAGTGCAAAACAGTACCAATCAATCCCACTTTCTTAAAATGTGTGGAAAACGAATGAATATCTTTATATAGGGACGAAGGGAGTATTATTTTTGATATATTTTTTGTAAAAATGGGAGCACAATAATCTCGAATGCTATCTACCCGGACATTACCCATTTCTTCTGTACTTTTTAGGGTTGCACAAGGAATCATCAGGGTGAATAGCTTAACTTTAGCCTTTTCATTCCATGGAATGCAACCAACCTAAAGAGTGAATGTGGTACGATTGGGTATACATTTATATGCCAAATAATTAAGAGTACAATCAACTTTCTTTGAATTTTTTAATACTTCATACTACCTCCGTTCCAAAATGATGGTCCTGTATTTACTTTTTGGGATGTCTCAAAATAATGGTCCCGTTTCTCTTTTTGGAAAGAAAGATGTGGTCAATATATATCATTTCACTTTATTATACTCAAATCTCAACCATAACTTTTACCTTTTCAATCATTTTATTAAAACTTGTGCCAAAATGAAATGAGACCATCAAATTGGGACGGATGGACTGATGGAGTATATAATATGATAGGAACCCTTGTTTAGAGTGTACACAGACTGAATTCTGGTATTTAATAAAGTTACTCGCAAATTACGCCACACCACACATGTAAACCAAACTAGTTAAACCATGTTTGACAATGCTGATGGAAAAGGATTTGACATTGTTTTACTCATGACTCTTCCCTGAGTAGTTGAAAAGTGCTTAGGGTACATCTTTTTATATACACTTTTGGCACACCTTGTTTGTTTACACATAAAATTTTCTGTATACAGACAATTTCTATATTTCAATTTTAATGATCTGTGAACAAACAATTCTATCTGTGTAGACCGACAATGTGTGACAAAAGTGTAGATAAGAAGGTCCACACCAAGCATTTCTATTACTAGTTGACCAACTCGGGCACATTTGTGTAATTATTACCAAGTTTAACTATTAATCAAATCCAATTATAATTAAACTTTACCAAGGATTTCACTTGAACTAATTTCACTTTAAGACTACACTAGACATGATCAAGCTTAAAAAAAAAAGACAGAGAGCAACTCGATATACTTAAATAGTACAGACTACAGAACATAGCCGATCAAACTATTTCGGACCAGATTTAAATCGAACTAGTTTTGATCAAGCTAATTCAAATTAAAACCACTAAATCCAAAACAGACCCGACCAAATTAGATTTAAATAGATCAGTTAAATAAAATTAGCTTCACGTATCACTCAACGCTTTTCTTTTCTCTGTGAACGGATAAGCGGCAATGACACGACAAAGAGTTTGAACACTTGATCCTGTGGTCGCGAATCTGATGAACTAGAAAGGTACTCGTACTACGTATAATACTTTTCTTAAATATCATTTCTCTTCTAGTCTTCTGGTTAAACATCTTTAGTTGTAAACTTTATTGCATATTCAAATCACTTTATATTATTTCTTATGAATCGTTGCATCTCATAACAATTTCATTTTCATTTTTCTTTCAAATGCCTTATTTTTATTGGATTGTATCGGGATATTTGTGATTAAATTATGGTGACTCAGTTAAACACAAAAATAGATCATTACCTCCTCTACAGAAAGTTTAATGATAAATTCACATTGCCATTGAAAAATTTTGATACCAATTTTTTGTACTAAATTTTCAACTCAAGGACCGATTGAGCTACTCATGAGAGCTCTTATTTTAATTTACAATATAACCAAGATGAGATGAATGTAAAGACTTGCTAAAACATTGTCAAACATTGTCAAATTTTGAGTTGATTTGTAATTTGCAAGATACGTAGTGTTAGAATAAGGAGTAAAATTAATGGCTTTGGAAATTGGACAAACTTTTTCTTGAATCCTCTGCGGTGTGCGGACTTTAGGATCTCCAGGAATCCTTTTCAGATTTATTAAACTAAATCGTAATGTGGGCAACCGCTAATGTAATACGGAATATGTATATTAGACTAATGTGTGTGTGTATATATATATATATATATATATATATATATATATATATATATATATATATATATATATATATGTATAAATATTAACGGGTCGGGTCCTAAATGGGTCGGAACTACATATACCATACCCAACCCATTAAATAACGGGTTCGGATCCGGGTCCGGGTAACAGAATTAAATGTAGACCCATACCCATTAAAAAAGACGGATCCGGGTCGGGTTTGGGTCTGAACCCGACCCATTGACAGACCTAGTCCTATCCCAGTCCATCCCCAAGACCCTAACCATAACCCAATTGAAAAATTATACAAATGAATTAAATTGTGAAATTACTTTACGATCGTTATAATATTTCATGATCAGAGTACAAGCTATTTACATCATAAATCTTGATTATAATAAGTACCCCGTACATTTTTTAAGAAATAGTGATATGAGGAGTAGTTGAAACTAATAAAGAAGTAAAGAACAAGGCAATACGATTCAAAATTTAACCCCAAAATGATTTTGAAGATGTATGATGCTTGACTTCATACTTCTATATTATACACAAATCTAGTATATACTATCCTTCGTATCTCATTAATTGCAACATTGGAATATATAGACTATTCATGTACTTTACTTTGACTACATTTTATTTATTAATGTATGTGAATTAATTTTTTTGAAAAATGTTGTTAAATTCATCTCATTACTAAGTTTTATAATCTAATTTTTATTTTATTTTTACTAATACATAATTAAATATAATGACGGTCAAAGTTGTGTATTTGCAAACGTGAAATGTTGACTGTTGCAACTAAAAAGAGACGGAGGAAGTATATATATTCAATGTGAGACACTTTAACTGCAGAATTTATTTAAAGGTAGCATAGAATTGATTAAGCTAGAGAAGAAATTAGAGTTACACTATTTTAAAGGTATACGAGTATTTGCTTATAAGTTAGTTGACTATATTTCGGGATAAATATGGAAAAAGATTTGGAGAAGGGCATAAAACTATATATAGTCCGTAGTATTTTTGTAACAAGATTAATCAAGTGGAAAAGTCATTTCACTCCCTGATTCGGGTCCTCGCTTTTAACAAAACTTTAGTGAGTTGGTCAGCAATTTCCTGCAAAAGAACCGGTTTACAGATAACGCCGTTCATGCCAGCCTGGTAACACCGTCCACTGATGTCCGCGTCATCGCTCGAGGACAGGGCGATGATTAACGGCAGGTGACGGCTCCGGTACTTCCGTATCCTCATCGCCACTTCGAACCCGTCCAAATCGGGTAGGTGAAGATCCAAAAGCACGACTTGGAACGTGGACGCGGTGGGACCCAGCGCGCCTAAAGATTCGTAACCGGAGGAAACGGAGGAGACGACGCATCCCAGCTTCTCGAGAAGACGGCGGGTTACGGCTCTGTTAACGTCGTCATAGTCGGCTAACAGAACGTTCAGTCCCCGTAAGAGAAGCGGGTTTGGGTGAATTTGGTGCTGGCTGGGAGAAGAAGACGAATATTCGCCGCCGCCGGCGACGGAGGGCCGGTGCTGAAATCCAAGAATAACCGCCATCAGTTGATCGAAACCCACCGGGTTTGGGTATACCCATATATCTCCATGCATCAACTGCACAATAATATATAAATAATAAATGTTAAATTTAATTTAAAGTGAAATTAAGGATGAAGAAGTGTAATAATTTTGAATAAGAAATTACTGGAAATATCATGCATATGTTCTTTAAATCCATTTGTTAGCTTAATTAAGTTATTATATTATTTATATATGAGGAGAAAATTGATTTTCCTAGATCAAACAGAAACCGTGTGGGGAAAAAAGACAAATTATAACATGATTCTTTGATGGGATGGATGGGGTAAGATCTTATCCGAGTATATTTGCGTGGATTATACTATTTGGAATGATATAAGTTAGTTTAAAGGTTAGTTATTACTGTAGCTTTTATTTTTCATTTTGAATCTTGTTTTTCATTTACGATTACCTTAACATATCTTTACTAGCTAATATTCACTGACGACAAAAAACAACTACGGAGTAACTTATAAGTTTATACGGAGTATGAAGTAATTAATTAATAACAACTTTGGGATTCTGCAAAAAAAAAGCTTTGGGAAATAATTTTCCTTCTAAACTAAATGAGACTTTTTAACCTAAAAGGTAAAAATGAAGGTCTTGAAGGATTACTGGGTTTGCAGACTTGCAGTAAACTGCAGGTCAAAGTGAGTCAAACAGGAACTTACTAATCATCAATCCACAAGATAAGGGAAATACATTCAGCTACCAAATAGAAGCCTTTTTACTGGTGGGAAAAATAATACCAGATGCATTTGCAGGAGAAATGCCATGGTTGTAAATGATTCTTATTATTTAAAAGAAATGTTTGACAAAGAACAAAAGAAACAATCTTTATTGACAATCAATCATCTTAGCAATAGTCTTATTAAGCAAAAGGATAAATAGATCAGCATCAAGTCCAATGATAACAAATACAGAGTAAAAGAATGGAATATAGACAGATAGATGTACCTGAACTAGTTTTTTGCAGACACTGAAGCTCAACCCTTCCTCGAAATTTTTACCATAATATCTTTGATTAGAATTATTCCCATGAATCCCGATATCATACCGCACATACACATTCTGACTAGATGAGTTCGACCTTTCAGGCCTCACACGAAATAGTAGGCACCCACCCCTGCTGCTCTTCAACAGATTCCCAACCATATGCAAAATCACCTGAAACGCCCTTCTCTCGTCTCCCATAACATGATTAGGCAGTGATTTGTCAACGTCAATTGAAAAGTCGAAACCTTTATACACACATATACACTTAACGAGACATGCGGTCTCTTTGATCATGGAGTGTAGCTCAAACGGCCTTGTCTCAAGAGGGAACCTTCTCTTATCCTTTCCAGTTGAATTATCCATAACGTCGTTTATTAAGTTTGAGACGACGTTTCCAGTTTTCACCATTGCATTTATAAGTAGCCGTTGCTCGTCCATTAACTCCCCCTCATCCTGCAAAATGGAAAGGAGGCCTAAGATCGAGTGCATCGGCCTTCTCATCCCATTGCTCATGACCATCTGAAACGCGTTTCTCGCTTGGTGGGCCCGCAACGCGCCATCTTGCGCCTGTTGCAATGCTCGGTTTCGCTCTGCCAATTTTTCTCTCATGTTCTGAGACTCCTCGAGGACTGCGGCGTGGGATATAGCCACCGTGACCTGATTGGCAACCATCTTTACTATCTCTACTTCCTGGTTTCCCCAAGCCCGACCTGCGCCTGAGGGAAGGACTAAAACGAGGATGGCATAACAAGCAGGGACGAGCTCGGGGGTCCCACCTTTGAAGTTAGCGACCCTAAGCATTGGCATCCGGATTGCGGCCACGCATCCCAGTTCGGAACTACCCACCCCACTACTCGCTACTGCGAGAGCCGAATTGGGTTCTAGAAGCTTCACGTCATCATTACCCTTGATCTCCTGCACGTCAGGATCGTCTATAGGGATCATTAGAGTGTTAACATCAGAAAATTTCCGGTCCCTAACCTCGTGGGTCAGGTTCATTTCAGTACGGTCATCGTCAGGCATCCAGATGGCGCAGTTATGTAAGTCGAGTGTCTTTGAGAGCTCAATCAAGGTGGTGTAAAGAATCGTGTGACGGTCGAGTGACTTGCGGATCTCTTGGGTGAGCATCCTAACATGCCACCCTGCTTCCCTTTGCCTCTTTATAATCCCGACTTCCCGACCGAGGTCCCACGCCTTCTTCTTAAGCATAAACTCTCTTACCTTCACCTTGAGAAGCATCGGGATGAGGCTTATAAGGGTTATGGCTGTCGCAAATGAGACCATGGCGGTGAGGACTTTAAAAATGGTGAGGGCAAGCATAAGTTGGAACGAGTGTTGCCCATAATATGTCCACCCATTTAGGAGATGAGTCATCCCGCAAAGAACAATGAAGGCTATGAATTCAAACAGAACCAATTTGAAAGGAATATTTGAGCAGCTAATGAAATATATGAGCTCGATCGGGATGGAGAAGTAGGCCACCGCGATCAAAAAGTCGCCAACTTTTTGGCACTCCAAAATGTTATCAACGCTCCAAAAACCATCATACTCACAATTGCACCGACCTAAGCCGTTATAAGCAGCTGCTGAGGCAATGCAGAAGGACCAAAAAACCAACAGCTTCAAAATTGACATCTTCGACATTGTACCTAATCAGAACCAATAATCTCAAATCAATTCAAGAAAATTCAGCTGGATAAAATCCAAGGGCATGTTTACTGTGTGCTGAAATGGCTCAGAACTTTCTGTAGGATAGGTAACATTCATTTCAGCCAGATAGAACTGGCTGCCAAACAGAGCCTAATATTTAATTCACTAAAGGGTTTCAAAATACACAGACAAGAAAATGATAAAAATTGCTGAACTATATTTGCATTGATATAGAACTATAATAGGTTTGGATATCAAATCAATCAAAACTTCAAAAGATTTCCCACCATGGAATTTGAAAACCAGCTACACATGAAAAAGGAACCCAAGTTGTAAATCAAAAAAGGAAAAGAAAACAGATAAGGCAGTTCCAAACTTTTATCAAACCAATTATTTAATACTAATACAAATGTTAATGACATCCATGAAACCGCATATTCCCCATCTCATTGACATTAATCACTAATAAATGACACTCCATATAGAAAAAAGTATCCAAAATCAGAACCTACTAAAGAAACACAATCTTTAGGCTATTTAACAGTAAAAAAAACATAAAAACAATAAACAATGTGGGGAAAATGAATATTTACCTGAAAACTCACATCTTCACTCAGAATCGGAAGACCAGAAAACTAATTTTCTCAGCATATCCACTCCTCAGATCTTAGCTTTTATCCCAAATGCAAACAAAAATGAACAATATATAAACACATGAAGAATCTGCTTCAGCAAATCAATCAAACATTCACCCCCAGATAATTCAAAGATCCGATTCTAAAGATTCCGGGGCCCACATTAGCACCTGGTTTTGTACTCCACAGTCCATCAAAGCTGCACTTCCCATAAACCCAAGGAGTAATCTTTATTATTATCAGCATTAATATTGATGATGAAAAAAGCGGTTGAAGATGTTATTTGTCATTCTTCAAGATTTTTCTAGAGCTTGGTGGGTGTTATTGTAATGTGACATTAATACAGAGAGAAAAAGATATAGACAGAGAGGTGAAAAGGAAGGGAGGGAGAGGAGGATGGGGAAGAAAATGGTGGATATTGAGAAGAGAAAATCTAGTGAGAAAGGGTTGGGTCCCATTCTCTCAGTGTCCCACTGGCTAACATGAAGAGAACTTGGACACACTTTTTCTTAAAAGCGACCTATACAGACCCTCCCAATCAAATGCCATTTGAATATTGGGGTAAGCTGAATTACTCGGCACAATTTAATATATTAAATTATTAACAATAACTTCTTTAAAATTTTAAATAATAAGAATGTTAAATCGTTCCCATTCTTTCCAAACTATGTGCTACTTTATTGTTATTAGAAAAGAAATACACTCTTATGGAAACGGTATCGACTTCTTACTTCTTAGTTCATAATATTTCCTATTTTATCATGCACTAATTTTATCCTATTGTGATGGACTTTTTTAATTCGTGGACTTCTAAAAAAGTCAATGGACTTTTAAATCCATACACTTTTTATGAATGAATTCTATGAACTTTTAAATCCATGGATAAGTTTATTGACTTTCAAAAAGTCCATAGACTTTTAAATGCGGACCACCATTGCTGGTCGTCGAAATTTTCACCTAGATCGCTGCTACCGATCTGCCCATCCACCCCGTCATCGGAGTTCCCCGTTGTCGTCATCAGACTGATCCGCCACCAACAAAATCTATTTGGTTATGCAAGGGAACTAGGGACAATTAATTATATTAATTAATTAATTAAATTAGGGGTGAATATGTAATATTTAGTCCTATTTAAGGAAAATCAAACATATGATCATACTTTAAGAAGAATGCTATGTTTTAGTCCTACCCTGAGTAATTTCCTTGGTATAATACGGATTATGATAAGAAACAAACAAACAAACAAACAAATAAATAAGTAAATAAATGAAACAAATATAATTCATATACCAACACAAAGTTCTACAAGAATAAATGAAGCATCGGAATCCAAATTTATTTTTATTAAAAAAAAACTCAACGTTTAGAGAATGCTCAAGAATTTTGGTCATTTTATTAACGAGTAAGAAAATTAATCGTTACACAACCGTTACACTCATTGCTACATGTGGTACACGCATAGTTGCAATCGAGTTTATCATCTTAATAATTATTTTCTTTTCATTTCTATCTTGTTAAATTTTGTGTACTTATTTACGGTTATATATTTATTAACTTGAAATTATATTTTTATGTGTTAGCGATTTAACGATGAAAAAAAGTAATAGTTAAAATATTTATTTTCTTAATGGTTAAGTGACGACGTACTACAATTGCACTGATGTAATACTATCGATTCTTATACCGGTTCTTCTAGAAATTTCTAGAATCGAACTAATATGGGATTAATGAATCGAAGGGGGGTCGAGGGGGTGGGGTGGGGCAAGCTGAAGAAGAAAAAGAACGGAAGGAGAGGGGTGGGGCGAACTGGGCTGAAGAAGAAGAAGAAAGATCGAAGGGGAAGGGGTGGCTTGGCTAAAGAAGAGGAGAGTTGGGGGGAGGGGAGGGATGGGGTGGGACGGGATGAAGAATCGATATAAGAAAAGTCCACGGAAATCTTTAGTGAGGAAAAGAGACAATTGAGGAGAATTAATGTACTAAAAATGAGTTAAAAGTCCATGAGAATCCATGATTTTAGAAATTCATAATAATGAACGGAACTTTGAATATGCCTAGACTTTTATAGACTTTTAAAAGTGTACATTAAATACACCTATACTTTTGTAGACTTTTAAAAGTTCACATTGAATACACCTAAACTTTTAAAATCCATGAACTTTTAAAATTTTGCTACAAAATCCTAATACAATACACCCCCTAAATTTATAAACCATTGTGCAATAGTATGTTTATTGTTTAAGTAGGGGTGGGCAAAAGATTCCGTCTCATTAGAACAAATTATTTTTGTCCCATATCGGTCCAGAAATGTTTCAAAATAGAATGAGACCGAGACATATAAAATGTGTTCTGTTCCATCGTGTTTTATTGTTTTAAAATGATAATAGTAGTACTTTTAGTTTGACAGTCCAAATACGCACCAGTAACTACTAAATGATACCCCAATTAGTGCTACCATTAAGTATGTAGTAACCCCTATATGAGCCTATTCTTTTAGACTTTTTTTATTCTAAGAGAAAAGTTAAAATTACTCTAAATTTATTACTCCCTTGGTCTCTAACTTGGCTAACAAGAATAAGTGTACTAGCCTAATAGTGTAGCGACACGTGTAAAGCTGACTGGAGACATATTCTGGACAACTGACTGATTGGTACCACACGTAACAGAATTGTCCTTTGTGTACCAGAACGCATGTGTGTGCCACACGTGTACTATCTGGAATATTCTGTGTAGTAACTGCCATGATGACGTGCCCTTTGTACAACTATCGTTCTGGTGGTGTGGTTGCAGCTTTTTGCGGCACTTGATTGCTGGAATGTCTAAGTCCATGATTTGATTAGTGAGGTCCCAAGCTTCAGCAGCTGAGGTCGAACTCGGAGGCAATATGCTTCATCATGGAGGGAGCGACCTCAGTTATCTACATGCCCGATGAAGATGATTCTCTTGTTCCGTTGACTCTCTAGATTTGTCAGTTGACTTCGCGCCTGTGTATGACGTCAAATCTGGTACCGACCTCGGCGAGGGACGCCATCGGCCTCAGTTCCGGTCCAATCTCGGTAACCTGGGATTCGAATGTTGTACCGACCTCGGGAGGGTCGAGGTCGGCCTCAGATGCAGTCTCGGTCTTATCTCGATGATCTGGGAGTTGAATATTGAGCCGACCTTGGGCGGTCGAGGTCGGCCTCGGCGGAATAGTGACTTAGTGTTTTTGGAGACTTTTATTGTTCGTGAATGTTGATACCCCTGGGGTATATGAGAATATACTCCATCAGGCACGTTTTGGGTGTCGTGTTATGAACTATTGTTTGTTTGGCATGTTGGTTATTCTGTTGATTTTTTAAAATTGTTTTTTGTTGTGTTATGATTTTTGTGTTGCATATATTTTTTGTGATATCCTGAATCGTTTTGATTTATTTCAGTATTGGTTTAAACGTGATAAAAATAGGATAATGTATTGTCCCGTCGTCCCATTTCGAACTGTTATTCTAATTCGGGACAGGTACCAAGATAAATCAAATTCTTTTCCATCCTAGACCGTGGTTATCCCTATGTTTAATTTTCAGTTTGATAGTTCAAATTGGATCAGGCCGTGTGCCTTAAACATGATGTTTTGTTTTGTTTTTCTTTCATTTTTAATGTAAGAGCATGTGTTAATTATGAAATGGATATCCAGATTAAAAACATGAACACAATGAGTCCGTTTGATAACACTGAGGGTCTGTTTGGTAACATTGGAATTGGCTTTAATTGTTGGGACTGTTGAAATTTATGAAAATTTGGCTACCGTGGATGCATCAGTTGAATCTGCTTAATATAATTATGAAAAAATTAAATATAAAATATATTTTATTAATACAATTAAGAAAAAAATACATCAAAATAACTAAAATAGTGCCATGAAATAACTTCTTTCAATTGAGCCAGAAAAGTAACTTCACTCTTACTTATTTTGATTATTTGTTGATTCCGCACGCAAAGTCAAAAACTATGTTTTGGTAAAAAGAAAGTTGGTTGATAACTTAAAAATAGAAGTTACAAAACGGGCTTTGAAATTGGCCGAATCAGATGAATCTGTTGAAATTTATGAAGTTCTGGCTGAAGCGTTGGAATTGAATTGGCTGAATCCGATGAATTATGAAAAAATTATATTTAAAATATACTACCTCCATCCCGTTGGAAGTTCCCATAACAAAACGGCACAATTATTTAGACAATAATTAAATAAAGTACTTCGAGTATATTTTGAAAAATAATTTTAATAGGTATATATTATAATGTAGTTGTATTGAGAACTGTGATGTTATAAATGTATTATTTTTAATATTTAATGATTAATTTGTCACTTAAGATTATTAATTGTTTCCTAAAATGGAAATGAGAACTTTTATATGGGACGCCCAAAAAGGAGTATTTTATTAAGAAAATAAAGAAAAATTAAATAAAATTAGCTAAATTGATCATATACAATAACTTCAATCAATTTTGTCATAAAAATAACTTCAACCTTACTTATTTTGATTATTGCATAACCTCACGTGTAAAATAGAAAACTACGTATTCGATGGGAAAAAAATTGATTGATAAGGTTGATAAGTCGAAAAACATGATTATCAAACGGACCTAACATTACAATGACAAATTAAATATTAAGTTCATGTTTAGAATATTTATGGACGCCCTCCAAGTATTAATCCATTTTGGCAATTCTCACTTTCAGCTTATCTACCTACTTTTTACGAATCATGTAACTTTTAATTTTGAGCACTTAATTTGTAATAACCCTCTTTTTATTTATTTTATTAATAAAATATATTTCAAATATAGATTTTCTATAATTCAACAGATTCAGCTAATTCAACCGCTTCATCCAGAATTTCATCAAATTCGACAGATTCTTTCGATTATCTCAATTTATATATATAAGATGAACAAAACGCAAAAAGTATAAATTATAGCATATTTACTCTAGTTTAAAAAATGAATAATATTGCATATATCACATTTCTTTAATAAGCTAATTTATATTTTAAGCAAGAGTATAAACGTCCCAAGGTCCTATTTGGTAATCCTAGTTGATTTATCGGTTAATCTTTTTACTATGGGAGAACTATCAAATAAGACCTCAAACTTTCATAAAAAGTGCAAATAAGCTCTTTTACAGGAGGCGTTGTCCGGCTGTCGTCATTTGGGGTGGTTTTCGATGGAATTTTATGATGAAATTTTTTGAGCATCTTCGTCATTGAGTCTAGTTTACTCATACCAAATTTCAGCTAAATATTCAATCGAGAAAGTAGTCAAATGATTTTATGAAATATACTGTGCTGCATAACTGCACAATTATCTTCAAAAATTCATTTGATTGTCTTCCCGATTGAAGTTTTAGCTGAAATTTGGTATTAGTAAACTAGACTTAAGGAAGAAGATGCTCAAAAAATTTCATCAAAAAATTCCACCGAAAAC